TGAAGGTACAATCACGAGAAATTCAAATATACCAGAATCTCTTGGCAGAATTTAATATTTATTAAGTGATAAAACAGGTACGTTGACATAAAATGATATGATATTTAAAAAATTATCATTGGCTTCAGCTCAATTTTCAGAGGAAGACAAAGATGAAATGAAAAAGATATTGATTGAATAATGCAAATTAAATGAATACCCATTATAGGATGTAGTAAATTTTTTAAATAAAAATAATTCAAAATTAAGATTAAAAAGAGAAAGAGATTAAGTTTTTAGAGATTTAATGTTTGCCTTATGCTTATGTCATAATGTGACACCAATTTATGATGGGGAGAATCCAAAAACATTTTAAGCCTCATCTCCAGATGAAATTGCTCTTGTAAAGATTGCAGAAGAAATAGGAATTGAATTAATATCAAGAGATTAGATTCAAATAACAATTAAAGATTGTATAGAGAGGAAATAAAAGTATGAAATTTTAAACAACTTTCCCTTCTCAAGTGAGACAAAAAGAATGGGCATTATTTTATACAATAGAGAAGCAAATAGATATATATTCTATGTTAAAGGAGCTGATGCAGTAATGAAATAATTAGTCTAAGAACATTAAAGAGGGTTCATAGATGAAGAATGTGAGAATTTAGCAAGAGAAGGTTTTAGAACTTTAGTAATCACATAAAAATTACTTACGAAATCAGAATATGAAAATTGGAAGTGTAAATTTGATTAGGCAAATGAATAAATAGAAAATAGAGACACTGAAATTTAAAAAGCAATTTCATTATTAGAAAAAGATATGGAATTTTTAGGTATTACTGGAGTAGAAGACAAATTACAAGAAGAAGTATGTTCTACATTAGAAAATGTTAGAAATGCAGGTATAAATGTATGGATGTTAACTGGTGATAAAATTGAAACTGCAATATGCATAGCAATATCAAGTGGAATCAAATCACCCACATAATAAATATTTTTAATCAAAGAAACTTCTGACCCTGAAAAATTTTAATAATAAATTAATACTTTTGGTATTGAAACTAATAATAATTTACTTGTAATTGATGGAACCAGTTTAAATACTGCACTTACATATTTTGAGGAATTATTTTTTACAATTGCTACTAAGAGTTAATCTGTTGTTTGTTGTCGTTGTTCTCCAACTTAAAAAGCTTAAGTTACAGAATGCATTAAATTTTATACAAAAAAAGTAGTTGCATGTATTGGGTATGATTTCATATTTATTATCTTTATTAGAGATGGTGGTAATGATGTAGGTATGATTTAATCAGCAGATGTTGGAATTGGTATTGAAGGTAAAGAAGGGAAATAAGCTGCCTTAGCCTCTGATTTTTCTATAGTCAAATTTAAATATTTGAATGTTTTATTATTATGGCATGGCAGATTATCATACAAAAGGAGTGCCTTATTATCATAATTTGTTATTCATAGAGGATTAATCATTTCAGTAATTCAAGCTGTTTTTATGTTTGTGTTCTACTTTTTGTCTATTAGTATTTTTAGTGGTGGATTATTACTTGGATATTCTACTATTTATACGTATTTAAATTAATTAAAATTTAGAATGTTTCCAGTGTTTTCCATAATATTTGATGAAGATGTTGATATTAAAATTGCTCTTTAATACCCTCCACTTTATAGATCTTTACAAAAAGGTAGAGATCTAAATGCTAAGACATTTATGGTTTGGGTTTGGAAATCTATATTTTAAGGAGTAATAATTATGATTTTGGCTTTGGTTATGTTTAAGAATATATTTTTGGAAATAGAAACAGTTGCTTTTACAGCTCTTATATTTAATTAATATGCATTAACATTAAGTGAAGTAATATTTGTATTTAATATTTTAGTTGCATTCTTTGCATATTGTTATGATAATATCTAATGTTGCATCAGCAGTTATTTACATTTTATCCATTATGTGGTTTCCAAATCAATTATTGGTTTCAGCCATGACCTTTTAATTTTTCTTTTATGTAATTGTAATTGTACTGGTCAGTTGGTCTCCTTGTTTTATTGCCTAAAAGATATTAAAGAAATATGATCCATCAGATTATGAAAAGATCATGGCTAATGTAAAAAGAGAATTAATCAATACCAAAATTTTTAAGTGATTGTTAAAATCTTATTTAATTTAACACAAATTGTTGTTTTTTTGTTATATACATTTTATACTTCTATATAATTTTATTAGTTTTAATATTTAAAATAATATAAAATAATAAAATATACAATTTATAACTGTTATTAAACAGAACTTATTAAAATTACATTATCAAGTTCAAGAATTTAATTCTATGATACATTTTTTATTAAAGATCTCTAGTAGCATTCAAATCTAATATTAATTTTATGAAAGAATCTTTTAAATTATTTACCATAATAATAATAATAACAAAGTATAAAAAGTGTAAGAAATGACTTAATAACTGTCTCATTAGTGGGCTGGGATGGTTCAGAAATAAATGGCTGAAAAATTACTAAATGAGAATCAATAAAAATATGATTAATTGTAAAGGAAATAAAGATACAAGGAAGAATTGGAAACAGACATGAAATTGAAATAATAATAAAAAATAATTTAACATCAATAAGATTAGTAATTAGAATCTTAGATGTTAGAAACTCTTAGGTAAAGAGAATCTAAGAAATTAAAAGAAATGGAACAAAGAAAAATTAAACAAATTGAAACTAGTTTAGAGAATCTCAATCATTTATTAATTCGAAAAAAAATGAACTAAGAGAGATCATATTAAAGTTTATTGCTCGAATAAGAAGATATCAAGTAAGAAAAATTAAAAGAGATAAAAAGTTTAGAAAGAATTAAAATTCATAAGGATGAAGAATCAAGAAAACTACGCGAAAATTATGATTCTGTCATACAATAAAAATTGAACTAAAAATAATAAATTAAATCAAAGTTATTATTAGTTCAAGAAACTGATCCAGATTAATAAATTCAAATATAGAGAGGAGATGCATAATCATACTAAATTGAATTAAGCAAATAATTAGAAGAAAAAAAAAGAAAAATACTTGAAATTTAAGCTAAAAAATAGGAAGAAAGATTAAGAGTTGAATAAAAAATTGCTTTTGAAAAATAAAAGATATTAGAAAACAAATTAAAAGATTATAATATGCATAAACAATATGAAAATGATAATTATGAATTATCAAATTAAAGAAAATAAATAGGTCATAATTCATCCTTGTAATCATATAATATTAAAGTAAATGATACTAGTCAACAAAAACTACCTCAAATATATTAAGATAATTATTAAGCATAAGATAGGAATAAATAATTACGTTAGCTTGATTAAGATATGCTAAAATATTAGAAAATGTAATAACAATTACAATAAGAATAGACATATAATCCAAACTAAATTTCTAATTAAATTTTGAAACCGTAACAACATGCTTAAACACCATTGAAAACTCCGTTATCATAATCATCGAAACAATCTAAATAATCAAAGAAATCCAAATAATTCATAAACCCTATACATCAAGAGGGTCCTGGATACTCTTAAATACATCAAAGCAAAACATAAACTCCTAAATCTAAATAATCAAAGAAATCACTACCTCTACCAATCGAGATTACAGATTCCTCAAACCAATAACAGAGACCTAAATTCAAAAATTATAATATTTTAACAGGAATTCTGCATATATAATGATATAATATTTATTATATGCTAATTTAAAAATATTATATCTACATAACTTTAAATCAATATAGATAATTAATATAAGGAGGAAATCTAATTCTATATTGATTATATCTAGATAAAAAAGTATAATTTATTGATTAAAGTATTTAAAAGTAATAAAATTTAATAACACTAATTTTAAATATAAATGAAATAAATTTAGGATTTTATAAAGCTTTCTTGTTGTATTGATATATAATATGTCAATTCAAATATTCTTTTATTATAATAATTGATTCTTAATAGAATAATCCTTCTAAACCATATTTTAATGTATAGAAAAATAGATATTAAAAATCAGAATCAATTCAAATTCAAATAAACTAATCTTTAAATATTATAATTCAATTTTTTTTTCAATTATTAAATACAATTTCTAAGAATCACCAATATTATATTAAAGTATTCTATTTGTATTAAATAATCATCTTAAATATCAAGATAATACTCCTCATACAATATTTTATTCATAAAGTATTCAATATAGAATAACTACCTAGATTTATTCAAGTATTACATATTATTCTTTCTTAAAATTATTATTTAGTATACAATATGTTAAGCAAATTGAATTAGGTGTGAAATGAGATAATTAAATTTTATAAAAATAGTAACATAAAAATGAAAAAGAAATCAAAGAAAAATCATAAAAAGAAACATCATTCTTCATCATCTTCGTCTTCTTCTAAATCATCTAAATCAAGATCAAGATCAAGATCAGAATCAAAATCTTAGAAATCAAAATCAAATTAATTTAATAAAGAAAAGACAATTGATTCTAGTATTCAAGATCAGTATGAAAATATATTAGATTAGATCAACTACACGACCCTATAAAGTAAATAAATTTGCACTTGGATCTATGCTTTTTGAAAATAGAAGAACCAATGATAGAATGGATAAAAGTGAAGTGTAAAATGCAAATACTTTACTTAAGAAAATCGATAAATCAGGGAGAGATGCTGTATTATTATCAGCTGCAATAAATACAGTGTAATAGGATAACAAAAGAGAAGAGTAAGTAGATTTTAATTTGATTTAGATATTAAATTGAATTAGTAAATGGATAGTATATTAAGATAGCCAAACCATATAGTTGTGGATTTAGTAATTGTTAGATGAGATTTGTAACAACAGAAGAATTAACAAAACATTTAAAAGAACATGATAGAGTATAATCAATGAAAAATACACAAAGAGCTTAAAAGTTTATGGAAAATTTATGAAAATTTATGTTTTTGTAAAGACTTAGTAAAAACATCAATTAAATATGGTTACATTTTATTGGATAAATTGTGGTAGTATTTGTTAAGTTTATTATAACCATGAGTGATTGTAAGCTTATTTTTGCAGTTAATCTTTCTCTATATAATCTTTTAACTAAATTTTCTATGATTTCTCTCAATTCTTTAGATGTTTAAGATGGAATTAGAACACAAGCCTAAATAAAAATTTTAAACTATGCCTTACAGTTTTAATTAATTCTTGTTAATGCTCTTTCCATGAAGGAATATCAAAACATAATTCATATATTAAGTAACCAAAACCCCAAATATCACTTTTTTTAACCTACATATCTCCTTCTAGAGTTTCAGGTGAAGCATCTATGATGGTACCACATAATATTTATCTATAAAAATGAGGAGAATAAACACAGAATGAAAAATCAGCAATTTTAGCTTAGCCAAAAATTTAAGAGAATATTATCTGGTTGAATATCTCGATGAATAACATCATTATGATGTATGTACATTAATTCAAAAGTTATTTAATGGACATAATTAGAAGCTTCTTTTTCTTAAAATGTTTAATTCGGTTATTTTTTAAAGTAGATTTAGTAATTAGCCATGTGAACATTTATTGATAAATAAATAATTCTAATAATGATTACAAGTTTTAAAAAAAGTATACAACTTAGTAATTATTTGGATGATCACGCAAATATTGAATTTTAATCTCCTAAGCTTCAATGATTTCTTCTATCATTTCTTTTTTTAAATGACTTTCGATGCTATAAAAAATCCTGTCTACAAATGTCTAGCTAAATATACATCACTATACCTGCCATCTCCAAGTTTTTTCTTATTTTAAATTCTAAAAGCGTTCTTCAGCCTATTATGTGATGTTTATTATTAAAATGCTTATGTCTAATTTAAGTAATATTGTTTATTTATTTAAACTATTCTTTTACATTTTTCATAAGTGGAATTAATGGAATTATTAGCTATTTGTCTATATTTTATTATGATTAATGAAGGGGAATAGTTTTATAAGGTGTAGTTTCTTATTTCTAATTGATTTTATATTCTTATTGTATTATTTTAGGTGAATAGATGATGCTTTTATTTTCAGAGTTGGTATTGATATTTTACTAATTTGAATTAGTTTTAAGGTTTGATTGTAGTTACTTTGTTTATTGTAATTGATTCTAGATTTTTAGAGAACCTATTCTACATATAAAAGTATTTTATTATTATTATAGGTTTATTGCTGAATTCTAGAATACGGTTTTTACGATTAATATGAGTTGTAATTCATTTAATTATTTTAATTTAATAAACACATAATTAATGTTGAATGATTAAAATGCATGGTATGAGGTTCTAAACTATATTGAATTGGTCAATATAGAGAGTTGGCTAGGATGGATTATATACCTCTGCTGTTTGATTGCTGCTATGATTTTGGGATATTTTTTACTGACAGTAAATTTGCATATATTTTAAAGTCATTCATTGTTCCAGATTATGATATCCACTCATTTTTCACAATCTTTTTATTTTGTTTAACTTTTAGTCTTAGTACTATGGCATTGGGGATGTTCATTTTTGAGATTTTCAAGATAGGATAATCATAAACTAGACCAAAATTGTGGTCATTCACTTTATTTAGCGATGTTTTATTATTGCTATTTATATTACCTTCTTTAACATTGAATTTCATTTTTCAAAGATGGGGATTTAATAAATATCCTAAATCATGTATATATATAATTTATCCATTAAGGTATTTGTGTATCTTCAGCTATAATCCTTTTGATATTGTATTTAATCAACAAATTTCAATTCAATAATTTAGATTTTAAACTAGCTTCCTAAATTGATTTCATTACTAACATAGGAACTTATATGATAGGAATTTTATCAGGATTTGGTGCTGTGTATTGTCCTTGGGCATATTTTCAAATGATTAGTTTAGATAGTAAAATCTATATTTAGAATAGTTAATAAGGTGAAATAAGGTAAAAAGGCAATAGTAAGTAACATCTATTTCATTCTTGCAGAAATTGAGAAATCGGTAGTTAAATTAGTTTTGATAAATGAGCAATATAGACATAAAATGAATGGGGAAGAAAAACCAACTGACTTTTGGGCCAGAATATCAAGTTGGTTTAAAAAAAAACCTACAGAGTCTTAATAAAGGAAAGATTTGAAAGAAGAATTACGTTAATTAAAGGCTATACATAGTTAATTGTATGATCATTTCAAAGATTATATTGATGAAGAAACTAGATACTATTAATCAAAATCTTTGTATGGTAAATTCCTTAAAAGATTGGCATGGATTGTATTAATCTATTGTATATATAAAATGATAATGAGTACAATAAATTCTATATGGGGAAGAAAGAAATCAATAGATCCTATAAGTAGAATTTTAAAAGTTATTTTACCCTTTTTTGGATTTGAATTAGATCAAATAACTTATGAAACTCTTGCTATGTATGGAACATTCATTTTTATGGGTTATTTGATGTTTAGTAATGTTAGATCATTTTCTTTGAATTTAGTTAATATATTTAACACTTTTATGGGTATGGCTGTGTTATAGAAATTACCTTATGAAATTATGGTATTATTTATTGCAGAAGTATTTGGAGTATATCTTTTATCAACAGTTATTTTGTTGCAAACAAGTTTACCAGATAGTTTCATATCTAATCTTAAAGAATATTCTTAAGGTATTGAAATATTAAGCCACTATGAAAAAATTGATAAATTATTTTTATTAAGTGGTTTTATAAGTACATTAATAATATATGCAAATTATCATAGAAGAAAATCGAAATTAGAAAACTTTGAGAAATCAGATTTGAAATTACGGGATTGAATTTTGTAATATATCTGCTGTATTTTATTCATTTAATTATCAGTTCTTCAATATAACCATGTTTTCAATTGCTTTTTTAGTTATTGTTTCATCCTTAAACACATCATGTAACAAGACTTTCTCAATTGGAATTCTTTTCTCTAATTTATTCAAAAAATCCTTAAATTTTGGAGATATCTGTTATCCTCTAATTATATACATTAATAATTTGTATAATAAATAGGAATCTACAGATTCATCAAACATTTAACCTGTACTTACTTCAGGTGAAGCAAATTCAGATAATTTTTATCTATTATATAGTTTAAATTGATATGTTGAATAAGTGAAATTACAAATGGCTACTTTTTCAATTGAATCTGGTTCTTGTTTATTTGGAATAACTCCTATTTAATTTGGATTCAAACAAACTATAATCACACCCATCATATGAATATAATGAAAGATAACCAATAATTATTTAGCTATTAATCTTATTTAGAATTCTATTATATAGATTATAATTATCATACCACTTAATTATTTTATTTATGATAGATATTCATCAAGAGTAAAGGGGATGTTTTCACAAATTTAATATATTGTAGTTGTATTTTAAAATTGAATTTCATGACATTTGATTACTCCTTTAAAATTAGATAATGAATCATGAATAATTAAATTTGAAATAGAAATATTATCTAATTAGAATTATTGAATTGATAATTTCAATCCTAATGATTTATTAACACATTCAATATGTTATTTTTTATTATTATTATTATTTAAAATTTAATATTTCTAAGAATAAGGACAATAAAGTTAATGTAATTCTATTTGAGTATCAAAAAACAATTAGATTTCTATTTTTAATTTATCACATTTAATAGCAATTCCAAATTTATTTACATATTATTATTTTGGGATTTCTTATATTATAGAATATGCTAAAGGTATTATTTCTATTTATTAAATAATAATAAAATACCAATTATATCTTGATGTTCTGATCCATAAAGAATTAACAATTTATTTTCAATCAATTAAAATTTTCTTTTTACAAATGCATTAGTATTTGTTTTCTACCAAACATATTTTTCTTCCAGATCTAATTAATTGAACCATAAATTAATAAATAAGGATTGTTAAAGATATTATATTACTTTTTCATTTATCAACCATTTATAAAATTGTTCTTCTGATTAAGGACAATAATGATCCAAATAATCTTAGATTAATTTTTGATGATTCATTTTTTCATCATCAAAATTAGCTTTCTTTATTGGAGATACATTATTATTATTATTATTGTCTATACCAGAAAGATCTAATGATTAATTTGCTAAATCAATCTCTGGCTCTTATTCCATTTCGATATCAGATTCATCAAAACAAGAGTATTGTTCATTAAAAACTTCTTCTTTGTTTATCATATTCTTTTTTAAAAAAGCTTCATCAGATTATATTATTTAGTAAAACAAGGGCTTAGGTAAATTACTCAACTTGATATATATATTACATATTTTACTGCTAATTTGAAATTTTGTTTGTTTATTGGAAATAATTGGGAGAATATTTGCTGATCCTAATGCACCTAACCTAAAAAAGAATATAATGATTCTTATAATACTTAAAAATAATAGAAGTTTGCCATCACATTTCTAATATATCCAGTGATTCCTACAAGTTTAATAATTTCATATACCATGCACCCTATTTAGTAATAAATATACCTAAAGATTAAAAATTAAAAACATCTCTTCACTACTTTGAACTTAGATGATATTAACTATTTATTATACTTAATTGTAGAACTTTAAATTTGTCATACTCTTTCATCTGATATCTATTTTATGCTTATTCTTATTTTCCAAAAAGACATCCCATAATATTAATAAATAGTTGTTAAATTAATGCTTCGGTCTGCTTTATATGAAATAGCTCATGATTACATTATTTAAGGAGAAGATAGTTTGTAAAATCAAGAAACTGAAAACTATTAACCCAATCGAATTCCTCTATCAACTAAATAAGAAAATGTTGTAGATCCATTCTAAAACTTCTCTAATCTTCTTCAGGCATAAAAATAAAAGAAATAAATAAGAAGAGCCTTGATTTCTATTGATACTAACTTCAACACACTCTCTGGCTCTCCTGAAAAAAATTAAAATGTTGCTAACTGTAGCTCAAAACATTAATCAACTTATTCATCCCCAAAAAACTTTGTATTTTATGATAGATAAATTCGTTGGTTGAATTAAGTAAAATAAACCATCAAAGTTAAAGAAGTTATATAATAATAGAGATAAAGTGTTGAATGTCCATTTAAACCAAAGAAATGTCCAACTTCCTTACCTTAAACCACAAAAAATCAAAATAATAAACCTACTAAAATGAGGAAAGACTCATATTCAACAATTCATTTATTAAAACAGAAGTTCTACTGATTTTGCTATATATATATATATAAGATTATTAATTATATTTCATATAATCAATAATTAAGATTTAAGGATATATTAGAAATTACAAATAATAATAAATATTCTTAGAAATATGACATTACTATAAATCTTATGTCTTTATAATTATATAAGTATAATTAATTTTATTAAAATACATATTAAAAAATGGCAGAACAAGTGGTTCCTAGTAGAATGAACCTTGCTTTATATAAGGCTAAGATTATATCAGCCAAAAAAGGTCATGAATTGTTAAAGAAGAAATGTGATGCATTGAAAACTAAGTTTAGAATAGTGATGGTTGCTTTATTGGAAAATAAAAAATCCATGGGTGATGAAGCACAAGAAGCATTACTCTTAATAGCAAAAGCTTAATATGCAGCAGGTGAATTCCAGTATTATTGATATTAATAATAGCTAAAATGTTAAGGATGCTGTAAAGAGAGCCACAATCAGATTGGAAATCTCAAGTGAAAATATTGCAGGTGTCATGTTACCTGAAGTTAACATTAGAGAAGTTGATGATTCAGATTCGAGTATGAGTCAAATAGGTTTGGCTAGAGGTGGTCAATCTATTTAAAGATGTAGAGATAAGTTTAAGGATTTATTGGTTCTTCTTATAAAAATTGCATCATATTAAGTAATAAAATTAATTGGATTTCAAGACTTCTTTTGTCTCCTTGGATCAAGTTATCAAAGTAACTAATCGAAGAGTCAATGCTCTTGAATATGTTGTCATTCCTAGATTTGTTGCTACTATGAATTATATTGATATGGAATTGGATGAAATGTCGAAAGAGGACTTTTTCAGGTTAAGTTAAGAATTAACTATAGATTGAAGAAAGTACTTGATAACAAAAGGAAAATAATAGAAAAACAAAATTAAGAAACAGCTAAAAGATAATTGGAAGTTGAGGATATGAATTGGTAAGAAAGAGAAAGTTATGATATGTTGGCAGAAGAATAACCTGATGAAGATGTATTCTTTTGAGAATTATATACATTTTGAATAGAAAAATACAATAACATTTACATTTTGAAATAAAAAAGATTCATAAATGTTTCAAGGCTATTTTTTCTAAGGAAGTATAACCCTTTTTTAATTTTGTAACATAACATTTTTAGAAAACACTGAAATTTCATCTAAGCTCTTTTTTGATTACATATCAATGGATTATCGAAACTTACATTTTTATAATTTCTCCTCACTCTTTTTATCTTATTAATGTTCTTCAGATGTATTAAAAGCTAATTATTTTCTAATTAATATTTTCTTTATTAGTCTTTCAATCTATAGATTGTTGTTTTCAATTTCCTCAAGAATTGTCAGACAAACCTTTGCATTTAATCTCAATTATGGATTAGATTCTAACATATGAGGAAGTAGAATCTATTAAATATTCTTATATCATACAAATAATTAATCCATTTTATTTGAATTATATTCTGGATGTTGTGATTACTTTTTTAATTCAAATATTCCTTCCTTATTTGATTGATATATAGTCTATTTGCTCTATTTGGTATTAAATAGATTCTCTCCTGTTAATCTTTAGTTAAAATATCTTTACATACAATTTATATAGAACACATCCTAAACTGAAAATATCTGCTTTCTCATCATATGGCTTATCTTTATTGAAATTAATTATTTCTGGAGCCATATATCCAGGAGTTCCTGATGTTGGAAATATTAACTAATTCCTTATCTTTCTTGCCAATCCAAAGTCAATCAATTTTACTTGTTCTGCTTTCATTATATTCAAAGGGTTAATATCTCTATGCATTATACCCTTATTATGAATATATATAATTGCCTCCAACAATTCCTAAAACTCTATTCAAATTTTACTTTCATTATCTTTATCGTTTCATTAACCGAGAGTCCATACTGTCTACTCTATAATTCAGTATACAAAGTTTTCCCGTTTATATATTCCATCACTATATAATAATTTTGTTGATCCACATAAGTTTCTTTCAATTTTACTATACTTGGATGCTATAATTAGTTCAATAGACTTAGCTCATGTATTAATTAAGGCTTTGATTTTAAGAATAATTTACTATTGCTCCATCATTTTAAGCTATTTTCATCTTGTCTACTTTCTTTATTGCAAAATAGTTCTCATTATTTTCTGTGGATATACATCTATAAACTGATCCAGTCATTCCACTACCTATTTCCATATGAAATTAGTAGAATGTAGTCACCGGGTTGAAAAATACTTTTCCAGCAAGCATCTCCTTTAGAAGATTCAATTTTGGTCCATAGACTTCTTTCAATCTACCGTTATATGAAAATTCAAAAGCTACTATTCTCTTATTCTCACAAATCCACCTTATCGTAGTTGTTAAATTCGTTTTTAAATTGTATTTTGGACTTTTAGTCGGATCCTATTTTGAACATCAACTTACATCAGTCATCACCATTTCGTCAGCAAATAAATACAATTAGTAAGCTCTATCTTTGAAAAAGTGTTTTCTTATAACTTGTACATTAAATAATGCTTTCTCGTAAGATTACATTTTAATTCATAAAAATCATCATTTCAATATGATGCATTCTAATTTCTAAAATGAATATTCAATATTAGAGAAAGGATTGTGTGAAAATAAGAACTTTTTCTTATAATAAAATAGACTATTTATAACTTAATTGTCTTACAAAAAGATTATGTCCTTAAAATATAACTATAAATTTATTAATTATATTATCAATCAAATATCAATTGTAAAATTGAACAATGTTTCATTAAAATTAGACATCAATTTTATTTATTCTTTGTTTGATATTTCTTACATTTAAGACTTTATAATTATTAAATATTTTTTTATTTGCAAAATAGATTGAATAATCTATATTAGTGAGATAATTTATAATGATATTCATATATTTTATATTTGAATTTGAAAGCAATAACATTTTATTATTAACATTATTTTGCTAATTAAATAGTTAAAAATTATTTAAATAAAAATATATGATTAAATGTATGTAAAATGAATCTCTCTATATAAAATTACAATAATTAGAATTTTAATTTGAATTATTTAAAATAATTATATTCTATGGCTTCATAAGTATAAAATAATAAAGATTATAATCATCTACTAACAATTTGGAATGATTATTTCAACAAACCTGCTAAAGAAACCATTGATCTCCAAGACAATATTCATAATATGATAATCTTATTTTACAAATTATTCCAAGAAAATGATTCAATTATTGAATATCAACATACTCCAAATTTGATTGAATGTAAAATTGACATATAATAATTATTCAAATTGATTGATGATGGTGAATAACTACAAAATTTATTTATTAATGACCCTTAAGATTGGATTAATTCAATTTCATTAGCAATTTCAAGTTTAAATAATAATAAGAAAGTTATTTGCCGACTTCATAATATTCCTTTATCAAAAAAATTAGCCTCTTAAGACATTGGTAAATATATAGCAATAATGGGAACTATCATTACAACTGGCTCATCAAAATTATTATTAGAGAGAGCTTGTTTTGTTTGTATTTCATGTGATGAGTATGAAAGTAAATAATAAATTAAAAATTAGAATATTATGTTAATTCAGATGGGTCTATTCCAAAAGTAAATTAATGTAATAAATGTGGGAATTCTAATACAATGAAACTAGATAGAAATAGAAGTGATGCTGTATTATACTAGAAAATCAAATTGAATGAATTGTAAATAGAAGTAGAATTGAGAGATCTTTATGTCAATTGTTTTATGTCAGGAGATGAGATAATAGTTCATGGTATAGTAAAGACAATATAAGATGAATAAAAGAGTTCTCTTTATGTAAAATATATACAAGCCTATCATGTTAAACATGAATAAATTAATGAAAGTTTTACAAGACACGAAATAAAGACAGTTAATGATTTAGCTAAAAATGGAGAGTTGTTTTATGCTTTAATAAATAATTTCTGTCCAAGTATTTATGGACATGAAATTGTAAAAGCTGGATTATTGTTGTCTCTTGTTGGAGGTAGTACTTGTAATAGAAATGCATCACATTGTTTATTAGTAGGTGATCCTGGTTAAGGAAAGAGTTAATTATTGAAGTTTGCTCATTTACTTTCAACTCGTTCAATATATGTTTCAGGGACTGCTGTATCACAATGTGGTTTGACTTGTTCAGTAAATCATAAAAATGATGATACAATTATAGATGCTGGTGCATTAGTATTGGCTGATAATGGAGTTTGTTGTTTGGATGAGATTGATAAAATGTAGAGTTAACATTATGCATTATTAGAAGCTATGGAATAATAAACAATCACTTTGGCTAAAAGTGCTGTTATGTGTTAATTTTATGCTAGAACTACAATTATTGCAACTGCAAATCCAGCATAAGGTCATTTTAATAAAACAAAATCATTAATTGAAAATTTAAAAATATAAAATACTTTATTATCTAGATTTGATTTAATTTATTTATTGATAGATGAACCAGATATGGAAAGAGATTAAAAATTATCAGAACATATTATGAATTTTCATAATATGAAAACATCAAGAATCAAATTTAATAATAATGATGAAATGAAAACTCCAAATGCTTATAGAACTTTAAATGAAAGATTACATTCTAATTAAATTAATTAAGAATTACCATATCAATTAATGAAGAAAATTATTGCTCATGTTAAAAATATTAAATCAATTCTTACATTAGGAGCTTAAAAATTAATAGCTTCCTATTATTTGAAAATTAGATAAACTGCATTTGGAATGCCAATTACTAGTAGATAATTAGAATCACTTATTCGATTGTCTTAAGCCAAAGCTAAATTATGTTTAAGATAAGAAGTAACTGAAGAAGATGCTTAATTTGCTATTGATATTTTTGAAGAAAGTAGATTTGATTGTTTTATTAGTGGATTAAGCAATTAAACAACTAATAAAAAAGGTTAAGCTAATTCAATTAATAATTCAAAAAATATTGGAACATTATCAAAACCAAAATAAACTTAAATCTTTTTGGATGAATTACATAAAGTTTCATTATAAAAGGATTCTTATGAATTTTCAATGGAAGAATTGAAGAACACTGCTAGAAAGATAAATCTATAAGTTGGAGATTTAGGTGATTTTATTAGTAAATTAAATTATGATTGTATGCTCATAATGAGAGGAAATAATGTATATGAATTAAACTACAAAAGATGATCTGATTAAATTATAATATTAATTAATTAATTATATATATTAATAAATATGAATTAAGAAATTCAAGTTGAATAAAGACTTTCATTATATGATATTGTAAGGGAAAAAAGAGAAGAAAAATAAGTACCAATTAGTAGAATGGTTTATGCTACTTATTTTAGTGAAAGTGCTATTCAAAAAATTGATGTTGAATAAGTTTTGACTAAATAAGTTATATTATCCTTTTATTTTAGATTAAAGAATTAAGTGACACTCAAGGTTAAATTTCAGGTTTTCTCTTAATTAGAGGTCTCTTTAGTTTACATCTAGTAGAAACTTAATCACATGTTATGAATCTATGGATGCGCAATCTCTATGCTGAATATAGAAAAGAAAAGAATATTTATAGCATGATTAATATTGTTACTGTAAATGAAGATAATCCTACAAGATGTTTTGATAGATGGTATTGTGAAAACTTATTTTAAACTGGTCCATAATTATCAGATATGGATAAAACAGAAGCATAATGTTAAGAGAGAGTTTGGGAATTATATTAATAAGTATGCAATGCTGGTATTAAACACAGTGCAAGAACTTAAAAAGACAAATAATAAAATAAAATAGCAAATGATGTCCCAATATCTTTGGATGATATAAACATGTTACTGCATAAAAGATTTATGTCGATTGAAGAATATAATGAATTATATTTAGGGGATATCAAAATTGAATTAGAATAAGAAAAAGTTTATCCATAAACATTACCATTAACTAGAGCATTAGAATATAAAGATTTAGGAGAATGAAGTAAAATATTTACAATTATTATTTAACAACTATAAATCATGTCTAATATCCAAATTATGTTTTTCTAATGTATCATTAATTATCTATCTTTTTATAAATAATTCTACTCTCAATTAAATAAAGTACAAAGTGTGTATATTGATAATATTCCTAATCTTGTTTATTTTAATATTAGTTTATAATATTTAAAATTATTGTGAATTATTTCTAAGCTTTAATTTATTTGATAAATTAAAGTAATTATTAACTACCAAATCATCGATAATCATAACTTAAATATCAATAAAAAATATTAAGTTAATACTATTCAAAACCAATGTAATCTTTTTTCTCCTGACACAATTGAATGAGTAAACAAAAATTACTCTAATTATAATAAATAATAGATCATCGAACTCCAAGTATGAAAACAACAAATGATTAATAAAGTAATGTTACTTCCTGTAAGATGAAGACTTTTCTAAGAAAACAGTGATATCTAAGAAAATGTTGATAAGATCAAAATAAATTATAAAATTTAAAACTAATAATCTATCTGTATTACTAGAATATGGAATTCATATAGAATATAAAGTGATTCTCATTTCATCAGATATTTCACATAACTCAAAGGGATTTAGTAAATGATATATAAAAATAAATATATCAAAAAAAACCATAATAAAAAGAAACCCAATTACTTAGATGAAAAGTAACATAGATTTGATTCTAAAGAATTATACCAAATTTAGTTTTAAAAATACAAAATATTGAATCAAGACTTATTAATATCTTTAATGAATTTTAGAAATAAATACTGAATCTTTGAGAAAATATTTTAGATTAGCTTTAAATTAAATCTAAAATATTAGAAATACATAATAACGAGATATCAAATGGAAACCAAAACATTATATTAGAATCAGAAGTTCTAATTAAATCATTAATTATTCAATTTTCAAGATAAATTTTAAATTCTATCATTTTATATTATTTATGCAATTCTATTAATCATCATTTATATTTTCTATTGAATAATTTAATGAATTAAAAAAAATTACTAAATGTTAAAAGAAGAAGCAATTAAAAAAGAATGCATAAAAAATGACCATAAAGGCTTCTAAATTGTTGCTGTTGATCTTTCAGATGAATTAATTAAAGAAAGTGATTAAAAAAAATATTATTGTGTGAAATGTCTTCTAGAAAAGATTGGAAATAAAAAGATTATTCTTTATGAAGAAGCAATAAAAAAGGTTGAAATTCTTAATTAAGGCTTAAAAAAATCTACAGCTGATAAACAAAAAGAAACAAGGGAAAGTATTTAAAAACTATCAGATGTAATCAAATCAATCGAAGGAAGTTTTAAAAAATAGTTTGATGATTTAAAGAAACAGTTAGAAATACAAATAGATAACGAATAAAAAAAATTAGATAAAATTCCAGAACCCACAACTCCAAATGATGATATTAAACTTTTGTCAAGTTGTTATCAAGAAGATGGTAAATTAGCAAGTCCTTCTCCAAATATAGATTATAAAGAAATTGTAGAATCTTTAATTTAAATTAGAAAATTACTTAAATAATTAGAAAATTTTGAATAATTACAGGATGTAGACAAAGAAATATAGAAAATAGAATAGATATGCTAAATTAATTTAGAGTTTGATGAAATATAAAAAGTAAATAAATATATTTAATATTTAGAAAACTCCTGCTTTAAATTTAACATGTGATAATCATAAAATGGAAATAATTATGTTTAACTTAAATCAAGATTAATTTGAGTAAACAAATCCATTTTTATGTGTTGAATGTACATAAGATCTTTTAACAAGAGGTAATAAGGCAGTTTCAAATACAATATCATTAATGAAAGCAGAAGAAAAATGGAATGAGTACATTAAAGAGTAAATGGAAAAAAGATCATAAAGATAATCAAGACTTAATTAAGCTATTGCATTTATTAAAAAATTATAGGAGAAATAAAATTCAGAATTGAATAAAATGATATAATCTCTTAATGAACAATTAAAAAAATAACCTAAAGAATATGAAGAACTTATGAAATTAAGAAATACTCATCTAAAAAATTAAGATAAATAGAATCTTCTTGAAATTGTTAAAATTCTTGGTTAATAAAAAAATATTGAATTTATTTCAAATTAAGAAGACTCAGAGTTATATTAAAGTCAAAAGAGAGTATTAGAAGAACTAATTAAAGAAAATTTAGTAATAGAAAATTAATTATAATGGCTTTAGAATTTTGATAAATGTATATTATTTAATTAATTTTAGTACCAAAAAGATCAAATGATTCTGAAAATGAAAAGGAAGTAGTAGAATTTCTTAAAAAATCAACTATTCAAGATTTATATTTATCCTTCTTTGAAATGTCTTTTAATTCTTTAAGTTAATTTAAAAAAGAAGAAAATGATTTATAATTATAAGGAAAACTTTTAAAAATACAATCATCAGATTAGGAAAATCAAAATGAAGCACTTTAAAATTAACGAAAATGGTATTAATAATTCTAGTAGAGCTAAGCTAAATTAGAAAAATTTAAAAAGGTTGATGAATTATAAAGTTCCTAATTATAATTAGAACAATTATCTTAAGAAGAAGAATATAATTAATTAAAGATAAAAAAGTTAGAATAAGTTACAGAAAATTAGAAAAAAGAATTAGAAAAAGCTTAAATTCAATTTAAAGATATTAATTAAGTTTATGAATAAATAACAGAATTTAAATAAATTTATAAAATAGGAAATGATTCATTTGAAATAGGAGATACAGAATTATTATCATAAGACTATGCCTAAAAACTATATAAATATATAGAACAACAAAGTAACAAAAAAATTAAGAATAAATATTTAATATTTTCTTCAAAAAAGTCTGGATTAAATTCAAATACATTTTTCAATAGTATAAATAAAAAGTCTAATTTGTTGATGATATTTAAATCATAAACTTAATATATTTTTGGTGGATATTCACCTTGTTAATGGCTTAAATGTAATGGATACTACCACCCTGACGAAACATCAACATCATTTCTATTTTCTTAAACTTTAGGGGAATTTTATCCTATTAATTCAACTAACAAAAACTATGCAATACTTATGAATGAATAAGAAATTGGATTTGGATATTAAGATATGAAAATAAATTATCAGTAGCAATTTTAGAAAGGATCATCAAATTTAGGATATACATATACAATTCCTGCAAACTCAACTAATATTAATAGCCCAGTTAAAACAAATTTATTGTTTGGATAAGCAGAACCAAGTATCAAAGATATTGAAATTATCATGTTAACATTTGTTTGAAATGAGATTAATAATCATATAATAAAATTATTATATATTAGAAATAATAAGATTTTTATTTATTCGTAATATTAAAATAAAATATATATCAAAATATTTAGAATCTGAATTAATAATGTGTAAGTCTAATTAATAAATAGAATCATTAAATGAGAATTTGAAGATCTTGGATAGTTCACTTCATTATTAATTGAAATATTTAATAGAATTTCAATTTATCTAAAAATATATTCAAGTCAATAGATTTGAAAATATTATATATTTGCCTATCATTAATTCTAATACTTATTTTTCTTCATAAAATTAACTATCTTATTATTAAAGTTCAATTAATAATTGAGTATTAAAACATAACTTAAATTAATAATTATATTTTAGTTTTAAATTTAACATTCCATAAATTATATAAAATATTTGTTTTTCTATTATTTATTATTAATAATAGAAAATAGAATGCAAAATAATCAACTAATATTAAATGTTAAAAGAAGAAGCAATTAAAAAAGAATGTTAAAAAAACGACCATAATGGTTTCTAAATTGTTGCTGTAAATCTTTCCGATGAGTTAAATAAAGATGATGATTAAAATAAATATTATTGTGTGAAATGTCTAATAGAAATAATTGGAAATAAAAAGATTATTGTATATGAAGAAGCAATAAAAAAGGTTGAAATTCTTAATTAAGAGTTAAAAAAAATTTCAGATAAATAAAATGAATAAAAGTTAGACTATTTTATAAAATTACAAAATTCAATTTAAAAAGTTGAATAAAGATTCTAAAAATCTTTTGAAATTTTGCTGAAATATATAAATTCAAAAGTAACAGCAACATAATAACAAATAGAAAAAATTTCAGAACCAACACCTTTAGACGATGATATTAAATTATTGTCAAGCTGTTATGAAGAGAATGATTAATTAGTAATTCCGCCTCCTAATTCAAATCAAAAAAAAACTTATAATTTTTTAAAATACATTAAGAAATTTAGATTATTATTATAAAATTATGAATAAATACTTGAAGAAGAAAGAGATGAATAGACTATTGAATTGAAATAATAAATAAATTCAGTGTTTGATGAATCACAAAAAGTAAATAAATATATTAAATATTTAGAAAACTCCTGCTTTAAATGTAACATGTGATACTCATAAAATGGAAATAATTATGTTTAACTTAAATCAAGATTAATTTGAGTAAACAAATCCATTTTTATGTGTTGAATGTACATAAGATCTTTTATCAAGAGGAAATAAGGCTGTTTTCAATACAATATCATTAATGAAGGCAGAAGAAAAATGGAATGAGTACATTAAAGAGTAAATGGAAAAAAGATCATAAAGATAATCAAGACTTAATTAAGCTATTACATTTATTAAAAAATTATAGGAGAAGTATAATTCAGAATTGAATAAAATGATATAATCTCTTAATGAATAATTAAAAAAATAACCTAAAGAATATGAAGAACTTATGAAATTAAGAAATACTCATCTAAAAAATTAAGATAAATAGAATCTTCTTGAAATTGTTAAAATTCTTGGTTAATAAAAAAATATTGAATTTATTTCAAATTAAGAAGACTCAGAGTTATATTAAAGTCAAAAGAGAGTATTAGAAGAACTAATTAAAGAGAATTTAATAATAGAAAATTAATTATAATGGCTTTAGAATTATGATAAATGTATATTATTTAATTAATTTTAGTACCAAAAAGATCAAATGATTCTGAAAATGAAAAGGAAGTAGTAGAATTTCTTAAAAAATCAACTATTCAAGATTTATATTTATCCTTCTTTGAAATGTCTTTTAATTCTTTAAGTTAATTTAAAAAAGAAGAAAATGATTTATAATTATAAGGAAAACTTTTAAAAATACAATCATCAGATTAGGAAATGGAATCTGATTCAATTTTTTTATAATAATTATGGTATTAAAAATTCAAAGATAGTTCAGATAAATTAGAAAAATTAATGAATGTTAATGTATTATAAAGATCCAAAGAAAAATATGATGAATTATTAATGTAAAATACATAGAATACAAAGAAAATAAAAGATTTAGAAACTTTGAATAAAAATTTTCAAACAGAAGTTGAGAAAGCCTTAATAAAAATTGAAAGTATGAATTAAACTATATCGAAGAATAAGATTTAGAATTAAGAATTGATACATGAATTAAAACAAATATATTCATTTTCTACGCTTTATTGGAATACAGGAGATACGAGATTACTGTCATAAGATTATGCCTACAAGATATACAGAAAAATAGAAGAAAGAACTAAAAAAAAAATAAAAAATAAATATTTTTTATGTTCTTTAACTGGGTACTAATTAAACTTAACAACTTTATGGGGTTATATAAACAAAATGTCTAATTTGTTGATGATTTTTAAATCAAAAACCCAATTTATTTTTGGTGGATTTACACCTTGTTAATGGCTTCATTCAGGAAGCTATCAAGTTGATGAACAGTTAGAATCCTTTTTATTTTCTTAGACTTAAGATGAAATTTATCCATTATCAAAAAAATCACATGCTATTTAAGGTCACGAATCTTATATACAATTTGGAAGCTATGATTTAAAAATAGAGAAGGATTTTTAAGAAGGATCATCATGTTTAGGATCTTCATATTCAACTAATCAATATTCGATACCTAATAAATAAAATCATTTATTCGGGTCACCTAAACCAAATATCATGGTATGTGAGGTTATCATGTTAACATTTGTTTGAAATGAGATTATTATTTATATAAAAAATATATTCCAGATATTAAAGTTGTGAGAATAATCAAATTTCTCGTACTATTGGTAATTCAATCTTTAGAAAACATTAATAAAAATCTAGATATTTTGGAGAAGAAGAAAAACATAAATTGATTATATACTAATAGATATATAAAATTTTCCTTAGTAGATATGAATTTATAGCTATTTAATTATTTAGTTAATAAAAGATTTATAATTAAAATAAAATAATTTAAAGAAGTAATTTCAAAAAAACCTTCGTTAGCAATTGAAATATTTCATCACTTCTAGAATTTTATAAATAGAATTAACAATTTAATTTTATACATGGTCATCTAAAAATCAGTAATAGACATTGAAATTATTGGCAATTTTTTAGAATTAGAACAATATGATTGACAATAACACATTTATAAATTAGCTTATTGTAAGGAGTGAATTAATATTTTACAAAGAATATGAAAATTTGATTATATTATAATTCTAAGGTTTCTTGATTTAAAACATGATATAATATATGTTATTATAATTTTACTTTTAAGTATGTATTCTCCAAATTATATATTATTTAAAATTAGATACATGTATAATTAAAGAGTTATCATAATAATGATTACAAAAATGATATAAGAATAAAAAATAATTAGTATATATTATAATTAATATATTATTTTAATACATGAATATTTATAGACTCAATTAGAAGCTCAGACACATAATGGAAGTGTTTGATATCATCTAGAGAGAGTATTGTATATATTAAATTCTAGTCAATTGCAAACTTTAAATGGGTGTTATTTAGGGATTCATTAAGATTATTTGATTCATTAAGTATTAAAATTTCCTAATCTCTTTGATATTAATTATGATGAATTAAAGTTAAATATAGTTAACTTTTTTTAAATGTTGAAAGAACACAATATCACACCAATAGTTATTTTGTCATCATAAATCCATTAGAAAATAAATTCAAAGATTATAATGAAATGTTAATCTGAAAAAAATAAGTAAATTAATAATCATATCATATTTATAGAGCATAATTTAGAGAATTATTATATAATGATGCTATTATTGATACTCTATTACCGAAAAGAATGATCATCGATTGGTTAAGAGAATTACAAATACAATTTCTAGTAGTTCCAGATGCAGGAAGTTAAATTCGTTATCTCTTTACTAATAATTTTATAAGTGGGTAAATTGTTGCAATTAATTATTTAGAATTTTAGCAGAGATCTCCTTATTAGAGAAGTGCTTTAGTTTTAAAGAATTAAATTATTTGATTTTAAACATTTTTGATAATTCATTTGAATGGATTGACATAAAATAATTAACAGCAAAATCTTAATTAAGTTTAGATTCTCTTGCAGAATTATATTAATTGCATGATTATTGTACTCGTAATGAATGTATAGGCTATAATGATTAAATTCTAAATTAATTTAGTCAAACAAAATTTACAAAGCCTTTTTCAGAACTTGCGAGATCTGATTAATTTAATGTTCTCTATAATATTGGATAATAATTCTTTGCTGGAAAGCTAACTTTATAATAGAGAATTTAAAAATTTACAAATTTTCTTATTGATTCAACTAAGATCACTTAATTTATGTAGTAAATCAAAGATTCACCATATATTGATATTAATTTTGATGAATTGAGATTATAAACTGCATCTGCTAGTGCTATTTAATATCCAACAGAAATATTGGTGTTTTAGAGTAATGGAATAGGATTATTTTAAAAAGAGCAATCACTCTTATAACCATTAGAATTTTAAGAATATGAATTTGTTGAACCTTCTTAATTAGCCTTTGAGAAATTGAATATTGGATATTATTAAGGAAAGAATCAAATTAAATTAAATACTTCTTTTAATTTATTTAAAGAGACTATTAAAAATCCTACTTTATTACGTTCTATTCATTTTTATTATAAAACATTAAAATTGACATCTAGAAAATCATCATTTGAACTTGGAGAACAATCATAATAAATTAATTCTGATCTTATTTAATTAAATTTAAATCTGAGGTTCTTACATTTATAAGGTTTAATTGATTTGGATAATTAAAAAGGTTCTTTATATGCATCTGCCTTATCATATGTTAAACCTCAATATTTTGTTCCTTTTTTCATTTATCTAAAATTATTAGAATCATCCTATAAACCTATTTTATTTGGACATTTTTATAATCCATAAAATGAGAAAGATGATGAGATAATTACAACATTTGCAGATAAAAAGGATAATTTGATAACAAAACAATTAAATAATTTGTCTGAACATTATTAAGAGGATGATGAAAAGATTTTATTACTTTTAAGATTTTTTGTGATTAATAGTATATCTAAATTAAGTTAATTGGATTATTTTGGAGATTTTATTACTTGTATAAGTAAAAATTATGGTTAATAATATGATGCACTATTAATAGGATTATATTTTGAACTTAATTAACGTAGTCTTATAGAACAATTTATAAATATTGGTTAAATGAATCCTTTTTATAAAAAATATAATTATAATGAAGAATTTTATTTATTTTTGAAAAAAAAGTTATCCAAATAAGAATTTATGGCAAATCATAATTTATAACATTATATAGATTGTTGGACAGAATTTCTTAAATTATATGATTACATTCATTAAAAAAAGGGTATGAGATTTGATATTTTGTTAAAGACTAATGAGTATTTTCAGTAGTTGATTAAATGAAAAAAATTGTTATTTATATATATATATTTAAATAACATAAATTTTATGATATAATATTATATTTATTATAATTATTAACATAAAGTTTTTTTCATTGATTTTAAATAGTCTTAAATCAAATTAAGTCTGAAGTATGTATTTATGTTAAGGAAGATGTTTGAAGTTAATAATTAAAAAGTTAACTATTTGCATTTTTGAAATATTATAATCATAATACTAATTTATCATTTTTTTTGTAGAAATTACTCATTTTTTAATTTTTCTTAAAAGGGTGATTAGATGAAAAAAAAATAAGAAAGTAGGATAAGAATTATCTTTCTTGTAAAATGATTATATATTTTAAATCAAAGAGATTATTCAAAAGAGAATTCGATTTCTTATCTGTAATTAATTTATAAGTTTTTATAAATATTAGAAAAAATCGCTAATTCTTAAGGATCATTTTTTCGATTTAAATATTAAAAATAATACATCAATATTTCTCGAAAAACTCAGTTTTATGGCAATTAAATTGAATTTTAAAGTTAGATGTGAAACTACTCTAAGTGAGTCTGTGTGCATTGTTGGAAGTATTAAGGAGTTAGGGTTATGGAACACTTAAAATAGTCTTTAATTATCTACAAACCCTGATATTTATCCATTTTGGGTTGGTAACATATCTGTTGATGTGAATGAAAGTATATTATTATGCTTATATAGACTAACTTATTGAGTTTAAAGGAATAATAAGAAAAGGAAATTAAGTTAATTGGGAGGATAGTGACAATAGAGTAATTTAAATTCGATACTAATCTCAGAGTATTATATTTTCATTTAACTCTCAATTATTGTAAGTAATTCGAATATAATCATTATATGACCTTTCTGATGATGAATCCATCAATTTAGGTATATTTTTATAACGATTTTTTAGATAAGATAAAAAAGATAAAACTTCAAAATGTTTTGAATCCATTCGATTAAGAGGGATTTACATCTGTAAAAATAATTATATATTGTAGGAATCTGATTAAGAAAGTGACCATCTTTCAAATTTGGATTCAGTTGGATTTTCACCAATTGTAAAATCTCTTTCTATTTAATATCAAGAAGAATCATTTGAACTTCTTGTCCAATAATGAATACATAATTAAACAGACTTGTTAATTATTGAATCTTATTTATTTAATATTCATTTGAGAAATTAGATTATTCTTTTCCAACAAGAATATATATATATGTATTAATATTTATCTATAATCATCTTCTATATTTTCAGTCTCTACTTAAATTTATGATAAATAAGATGTAATTTAAAAATCATAATAAATGTATGAATAAATTTTATTTTATTATAAATTGTGTCTTTAAATTAAGAAATCAGATTCATTAAATCATAATAAATATATAACATGTATTTATAAGTATAATTATATTATACAATAATCCTAAAAAAGTGAGAGAATAACTCTATTCAAAATTTGAAGTATTTGAAAAGATAAAAAAAATAATTTATTATCAAAATCCTGCATAAGCTTTTGGTTATCTTTATAATCTCATTATTTATTCAAGTAAATCCCTTTCTCTTGCTTATAAAAATTCTACACGTTATTATAACTAATTATTTGTTTATTTCAATTAAACTATTTCATGTAAATCATTTGGATCACTACTCTTTCCATTAAGATTTTTTCTAGCTATCTATTAAATTTTATATAAATTTCATACTTAAGCTAACTCCATATTTTTTTCTTCTAAAGATGCTACTTTTTTTTTTAAATCACTATTTTCTATCAATAATGCACTAGACATATATTCTTCTTAAATCTTTGATTTTTCTTAATCTCCTTTAGTTATTGGATTACCAATAAATATCTATTCTAAATTCTCTAATTTCAATTATAAAGCATTATTTTCATTCATAACAATATGATAATTCTTAACAGAAACATCACGAGCATTTCTTAATTCATCATTTTCTTATTTTAATTTATTTATTTCCATTTAATATTCATGTAATATTTTATTTACTGGCAAATCAATCTTACTATTATTAGAATTAACCTATTAATCAAATCCATTTTATTAACTATTAAGAATTTAATTATGACTAATTGGTCTAGATGGTAAAGGAGGAAGTTATTTCTTTTATCCATTTTTATCATTAAAATTAGGTATTTCTATAGGTAATCCATTTGTATATCTAAATAATTATTATAATTAATTACCTTTACAATTATTCTCTTAGATACTGATTTTCCATCTTTAATAAATCTCTCTCTCTAGTCAAATTATATATAATTTAATCTTTTTCACCCATAGAAATCACTGGTTTATTTTAAATATTCATAGTTGAAGTGGCATAATTTATAGTACTCAATGTTTCTTCATAATAAGCAGCAGAAGGAGATACACAAGCAATCATTAATGCCTTAGCAGTTCCTCTATTAATATTAAATTTCATTAATACCCTAATGAATCCATTAAAAGCATTGTCAATTTACTATCTCTATAAGGAATGTAAGGTAATTTATTCTTTTTATCACTTAAAGACTTAATAACTTTACCCAAAGTAAATAAGGATTTATTAATATTACCAGTTTCTTTTATCATATCACCTTATGATTTAGATTCTTTTAATCTTTCTGAACCAGCTAAATCAACAAATGAAAATTTTCCATATCTCTATATTATTATATTATAATTCAATACTTTAACTATTTATCCATCTATATTCTATTCTCCAATTAAATAAGCTGTCAATATTGAATGAGATCTACTTGAATCTTTGTTTAATTCATGAGATCCTTACTTTCTATTTCTCATTCCTTCATGTAATACTGCTTAAATATCAGAGAATGATGTGCATTCAACAATCATTAAATCTTCAACAAAGAATCCATTTTATAGATTCCATCTACAATGCAAGATTCCAGAAGCAGGATTTAATAGATCTCTCAATTATTCATTATATATTTCTGTAAATGAAGCTTTCACATAAAATTACTCTGCTCTTTGTGCCATAATTTACCATAAATATCTAGTAGCTCTTGGTATTATGCCTTCAGATTCATCAGAAATATACTTTTCTCTTGCTAAACGTTCTTCTACTCCAGAAATGCTTAAATATTAAAATTGAAAAATTTACGTATAAGTTTTACCTGATCCTGTTTAACCATATGCAAATATTGTAGCTGAATATCCATCTAAGGCAGCATCTAATAATTCTTAAATATTGCATTTCATAAACACCTCTTATTAAGTACACCTTTCATCCAAAACAGCATTAAATCTAAATTACTTTGCTACTCCTCTTTGCTAATTAAGATCACGAATTACTTATAATAGAGTTAACAATTTGAATCTGATATAGCTTTGATACATTATTCATCTCCTCTTCCTTATTCTAATTAGTTCATTGGTCTTATTCGCAATGCAACTTTTACACTTTCTCCACCAGATTCATCCAATACTGAAGTATCAGGTTAAGATGGAGATGGTCCTGATTGCAAAGACATTGGTTACATCATAGGAGAAGGTTAGTTAATTTGTTGATTTTATGGTTAAGATGATTGTTAAGGAGTTTTACTCTTTTTATTCATTATAATATTTTAATGATTTTTTTCAATGTTAACTTTCTTTAGAAATTTAAAATAATATATATATTTAATTTCCTATATCAAATTATCACTTGAATGCAGCTAATCCTGTTATTTCTCTACCAGCAATCAAACTATTAATATCATAAGATCCCTATTAAATATTTCATTTTATAATTTACCTCATATGTATAAACTACTTCAGCATCAGTTAAAGCCTTAATACAATAATTTTCAATTAAAATTCCATCTCCTCCCATCATCTCTCTTCCTAATCTAGCTACTTCTCTTGTTTTATCAGAAACCCATGCTTTAACAGCTGCAATCTATCCTAAAGTTGCTTTTTTCTCCTATGCCAATCTTGAAACTTATAAAACCATCAAAAAACTAGCTTAAAATGTTGTTAATATCTTGGCCAATCTCTCTTATTATAATTAGAATCCAGCAATATTTTTTCCAAATTACTTTCTTCTTGTTGTAAATTTAATCACATTCTCATATACTCCTGCTTATATACCCAAAGCTATCCAAGGAACTCCTACTCTTGAATGTTACAATACTTAAGTTACACCATTCTAAAAGTCTTTAGCTTTAGGCATCTTATTTTCATCAGGTATAAACACATCTTTAAATGTAATTTAACAATTTTAAACTATTCTCAATGCTAATTTATGTTTAATTGGTTCTGCATGAACTCCAGCCCATTTGTTTTCTACTATAAACCCTTCAATATTATTATTCTCAATATTTCTAGCCCAAACAACTAGAATATCCTTATTTCCATTTCCTATCCATCTCTTATTACCATTCAATAGATAACCTCCTTACACTTTTTTGACTGTAGTTTATATACTCGATGCATCAGACCCATATTCTTTCTCAGTTAATGCCCATCCTCCCAAAATATCCATATCCTTAATCCTAGTTAAGTATTTCTATTTTTATAATTCTGAACCAAATGTTTCAATACTATAAGGTACCAATGATGAACTAATCAATCATATAAATTTTTACATTAATAAATAGAATGTTGATAAACCAGCATCAATTTTAGCTAATTCTAAATAGGCTAAACCAGTTTTCACATATGTATCAGTTTTATGAATTAACTTTAATGGTTTTAAAGCTTCAACTATTTCTGTAGGAAATTCAGCTGCTTCAACATACTTATTGATTGTTGGTGCCGCCTGATTAATTGATTCTTATTACTTTTTCCTATGCAAATTTACGAACAGCATAACAAATTTCCTTTTCGTCTTTTTCTAGCATATCATACAATTGAAGATATTCAAGAGGATCTGCCAAGAACTTGACTTCCTTAAATTGTCCAGCCAACTAATTCAATCTAAACATAAAATTATAATTAATATGTCGTCATTTTATATTATAATATGCTATAATAATAATTGTGACTTAATAATTCAAAAAATTTCATAATACAAAATTCTATTTTATTATGATATATATACTTTACAATAAAAAAAATTCCATGTGTATTAAAGATTTATAAATTTATGCTTAATTTGAATTTTAGAAAAGTTATTCAATTTTATTTCAATTTCTTATGATATTATAAAATAAGATATAAAAGATACATAACTAACATAATAAATTTAATAATAACTATAAGAAAGTCAATATTTTCTCTTTAATAAAAAGCTATTACATTATGGATGAGGAAATCACTTATTTTTAACAAAGAAAATTTCTTTAGTGAATTAAAAATTTGATAGTCAATCTGAGTAAGTTTTTAAAAATTGGTAAACTCAATTAATTGATATTACTCTATGTATCTTTATGACAGAAAGGTTTTATATTATAGAACCTTTTAATAATATTTTAGAGTTTTTGGGTTAAATAGGTGGATTATTTGAATTAATGTGATTTTCTGGTAGGAACAACTGTCAAACCATTTAAGAGACTGTCATGCAATTTATTTTTAGCACCAGAAATGTTTACTTAAATAATATAATGGTTATTAAAAGATCCATAATAAATTTAAGTCTTAGGTAGAAGAACTTGTAAATTTAAGTTAATTGTTGTGTTTAAAAAAAATTTTAAATTAAAAGCCTAATAAATTAAAATATTTGATCATCAATATTTATTTGATAAGATAGATAATTAATTCAATAAAGTATTGAGTCAATTTAAATTAAATAGATATTCAAATATTATTAATAAATTAATTGAAATTGATAAATAAAAGAAAGTATTATTAAATGAAGATTAATAACAACTGTTTAAATATATTCATAAAAATAAGATCTAATTAGTAACTCGAGATAAAATGAAAGAGAGTATTAATCAATATAATAATGTGAATAAACTTTCTTTTGAGAGAAAATAATTTATGTATTGTATTCTTATAATATGATTAAGGTAAGTAATCTAAAAAATTTAAACAAATAAATCAGAGTATATTCGGTTTATAGAACAATAGTGTTAAATTGATTTTTGAAACTAACGATAATTAAAAACCATAACAGTAAACATTTATTTTTTTTATACAATAAATAAGTTCATTAGTTGGTTGAAGTCTTTTAACAAATTAGAATTGATCTATTATTATTACACCATTAATTTATCAAATTTATAGATAATAAATAAAAACTTAAAGAATCGTATAAAAGGAATTAAATTTAAACTTATTTTATTGAATTAATTTTTTCAAGCAATTCATATTTTTGATAAATTATTGATTAAAATAATAAGATATGATCTTAAGGAACACTGATTTATCTCCTTATTTCTCTAGAATATCTCTTTATTTTTGAATAAGTTCTAAAAGAATATTTTTTAATGCATAATCTTAATTTGCCTCTATATCAATAATACTCAAAAAATAGATGTCTAAATTTTTCTAAATATTCTTAAACAAATATATTAATCTAAATTAGTAAACGATAATTAAATTATTTCTTTAATAATAAAAAATTTATTTATTTTTTAAAAATCCTATTTATTGTTTTAAAAAGAATCATTTTTGATTTATATTGAATTTCCTATTTAGAGTTTAAGGTCTTAATTATAATAGTTATTAATAAGTAAACCATATTGTAAATTAATTTATTTAATTGGAAACTATATTTACATTAAAAATATTGAAAATTAATTCTTAATATTTATATACAAGCCTTGTTGATCTAGTAAAATTTGTTTAAGTGTAATAAATTCTTTATTAATTCTACAATTTAATTTTTGATTATTATTATATTCTTAATTATAATATGAGATGAAAATTAACTAAGTATTAGATTCTAATGTTATTATTACAAAGAAACTAATAATATGATAATTTTAAAGCATTATGTATGAATTATTAAACATTTATATATAATTTCTTAATGAGAAATTATATACATAAGTAAAAGAAATTAGAGAAAAAATGTGGAATAATAATAAAGAATCTGTATAAGGGTAATTTGAATGCAATATGAAATTGATTTAATAATGTTCATTATTCAATTCAATACCAATTTACGCATTTCTGCTTCTTCAACTTCAGATGGATCATTAGCTTACATTTCTTTAGATAAACCATTCAATTTCTTCTTTAATGCTTCTTTTCCTGCAGCATATGACATCTTTTATTTAACAGGCTAATTAGCATCTGGAGACCAAAATATGAAGACTAATTTTTCAACTTATCTTGGTGGAACGTCATCAGTTTATGCTTGATAATCGTAAACTGCATATCGTGACTAAAAATAAATAGTATATAATAAATACTTCATTTTAAAGATGACTAACAAATTCAGCATAGGTGCTATCTCTTGCTCCAATTTAATCAACAACAATCTAATATTAATTTTGTAATAATCACTTAATTTGTATCAGTGTTTAATTTAAAGGTCAAATATCTATATTATTTTCCCAATTTGAGTTTATTGAATTCTGTTACGCAATCATCATTAACATGTGTACCGACGTTCATAATTAAATCTTATAATATTTATTTAAATTTTCTTTTTTTTTTATTTTTTAATTAAATCACATTTTCTTTTCATTTCTTTGTTAAATTTTTTTAAAAATTTGAAGATATAGAATTAGTTCTTTATACTCTAAGCAACTATGGTTTTTTTTAAACAGATTCTTTAATATTTTAATTGGTCTTTGTTTAATTGATTTATAGTTTTTTATTTGAAATATCTTTGAGTGTTGATGTTGGTCTTTAACTTTTTGGAGAAACAACTTCATATAATTCTTATTACCTTGAAGAATCTAAAAAATTGGATCCAGGGTTGTATGGTACATGAATTTACTCATGCAAAAAGGCATATTCATTAGGTTCAAGAGATTATTGTTTAATAGCTGAGGATTGATGAGATTTTTTATATGAATATCTGTTATTAGGTGATTATGAAGGTGTTAAGTATTATAAAGAGTTAGGATAAAATTATTAATTTTAAGGGGAAAATAAATTAGAATTCTAATAAATATTGTTATCTTAAAATTATAGTAATTCTAAATTAGCAAAATTATTAGATTTCTATTTTGAATGAATTTTTATTTAATTGTGATTATTTTATTCAGATATAGATGGATTAACCTTCTTTACTTATTTTTTTTATGTTTATTTTAATTTTGATTTTAAATATTTTGTTTTATGTTCTGAAATTATTTATACAGATCTTTAAGTTGGATTAGTATTTTTTAAAGTATTAGTTGATTATATTATTTATGTTTTAATATGTAAATTTTTGGATTAATGTATAGGTAATATTTCCTTAATTTATTAATTTGATATTTCATTTAAATAATTTGATTATTAATTTTCTATTTTAATAGCTGATTACTACATCATTTCTACTAAACTTTCTTCATAAATAGATAAATAATTAGGTCTATTTTCTGGTTATAATTCCAACATTTTACTGATTAATTTATTATCTGCTTTTTATAATAAGTCATCCAAAATATCTAATATATTTATTATCATTTACTTTTGTTTATTTAATAGGTTTCAAAATTATAAATTTTCTGAATTGATTCTTATAAGATTAATTCTAATGTTATCAGACCAATAGAAAATATTTCACTTTTCTCTTTATTATATTCAGGTCTATATGAACCTCTACCTAAAAATTCTAATAATTCAGGAGACAAATAACAATCCTCTTATGATCCATTTAATAGACGACTATAATGATTAATATTGGGGAGAAAAAGTTTGACTTAATTTTTAAAGAGAAATGATGAAGGTATTAAATCACCATGATATTTATCTCTATTTTATAATTCTATCAAAGTATGCATAACTTGCTATATAAATTAATAATAAGGAAGTTAAGATGTAAATGGAATACCATATTCAAAGATTGCATCTATTTTGTAAAAGTTACTACATAAATATTATTCTTCTTATTTATGTATTTCTAACAATTTTATCAAACCAGGTATATTAGATAATTGTTAATATTGTTGTAATTTCTATAACTCAATTTGATATTAATCATCATTTTAATATAGCTTACGAATAACTGCAACTTATTCTTATTAATTTTAATAGACTTCAATTAGACTTCCAAAACTAAATTGAAACTCATAATTACATTTTGCTTTGATGTTGATCTAATTTTTACCAATTTTTTAAAAAGTGTTATTTGGACTGTTAAACTTAACCCATAATTAAAGAAAATAGTGAATGAAATAATTATATATTATTATTGTACTTTGATAAATTATTTTGTGAGCTCAAATAATTCCTATCTTGTTGGCTAAATTGAGAGCATCATTCTCTCCACCCAATCTAATGTAGGCCTTCTTCTTACCACCAAAAGTATTAAGGATCTTTATAATATTAAGCATTATTACATTAACTTTTCTTACTTTAACATCATAAATTTTCTAAAATGCTCTTTTTATTTATGGCTTTGTTGATTTTTAATTAACATAAAACACCATTGTATTTTCATCTTCCATTTTTTTCATGTCCTTTTCTGTAATAAGTGGGTGTCTAAGCACATTTTAGAAATCTAATCCTTTAGAAACTGGAGTAAGTTATCTTGTTAATCTATAATTATTTCAATAATTGTTAAACCTTGTGAATTTTGGTTTTCTAGATAAAGCTAATGGCTTTTCAGTATGGAATCTATTTTGAAAATGTTTTCTAGCTCTCACTACTTTTTTGGCAACTCTTGTATTTTTAGCTGCCTTCTATGCTTTTTATGTAGTTGTTGTTTATCCCTTTGGCATTTTTAAAATTATTTTTAAAAAACAATCTTTTTTTTTAATTATTTCATAAATAATAGTAAATAAATAGAGTGTTATCATTACTTAAATACTATATTATCAAATCAATACTTAACTATCTATCTAATCTTCATCATAATATATAATCAAAAATAAATAAATATTAAAATAAACAATATGAATTTTTCATAATGTCCAGATGAATTTTAAATTGAAGAATAACAATTCATTAGAGTACCTTAAAGATCATCTTTAAGTAGTTTTAATTTTGAGGTATATAAAACAGCATTTTAAGGAATTAGATTCTAAATATAAGTTTACTTATCCAACTAATGAAAAATAGAATGAGACTAAAAGAAATCAACTTAATTAAACTCCACCTCCATAAACTAAATAGATTTAATAATATGAAATAGATAAAAATTATAAGTTATAGATAGAATAACTTAATCAACTTTCCAAATCTCCAAAATAATGTCATTCTTTTAGAGATTAAGGAAAAATATAATTATGCTAATAATAAATAGAAAAACCTCAAAAAGAAATTAAATCTATTCTAAACTTCTAAGTTGATACTAAATTCATTAATATGAAACCAAGTAAAAAGAAAAATCAAAAACCTATTCTACCTTAATTCTAATAATAATAATAATAATATAAACGACCATTAATGATATAGAGTAATCCAAAATATTAGAGAATTTCTCCTAAACATCAAAATAAAAATCCTATTCAAAATAATATCATTTAGAATTATTCTGAAATTACTTTCCATTAAGAGCCAAAAGTCAATAAATTTTAATAATTATTAAATAAAGCTCCAAAATCAATTGAAATTGATCATTAAAGATCAATAAAATGGTTTGGAAATAAAGAACTTTGTGAAGGAGAACTAAATGGAAAAATTGTATAATTTATTAAGACTTAATAATCAAATGTGATATTATGATATGGATCTTATTATTTTACTCAAAATTTTGCATCCTTTGGTAATAAATCTGGAGTGAATTTTGTTGCAGCAGCCATATTTCCCTTGATATTCATCTTACCTTACATAAAAGCCTATTATGGATTCAACTTTCCTTAAGCCATAACAATCTTATCATCATCTATCATTGTAAATGTGGCATCAGCTGTTCCAACCTTTCCTTTTGAAATTGACTATCACTATAAATCATATTATATACTCCTGTTCCATTTTTAAGATTAAACTTCTGGAGGTTCTCCTTTGGCCTTAGAAACTTCAAAATAATAAACAGCATTGATTTTTTTAACTAATTCTGTTCTCTAACTTTTAATGAATGGATCCATCTTTTCATATAAAACAGCTGATTTCAAAGCCATCTTTATTAAATTATTAATAATATGTTATTTTTCTCAAATCTTAAAAAACAATATTAAATATCCTATTAATAAAAGAAAAATAATTTAGTTATATAAAATATCATTTCTTTCCCTTCTTCTTTTTTTTCTTCTTTCCTCCTGCAAAAGGATCTTATGCATACTCTACCCATAATTTAGGAAATTCTGGTTTATTTTCAAACCAACAATTTTTAGATTTATTTATATTTCTAGCAGCTGTCAATGTTCTAGGATGAAATTAACCTAATTAAGATTCTAATATAGCATGTGCCAATTTAAAATATCCATATGACTATGAAAATATAAAAAATATATATATTACCTCCTTATTACGTTCCAACATATACATACAACATCCTAAATTATTATATACAGTAGCAGTATCAACTGTATCTACACCAATACTATTTTCTCTATATTCTCTTGCCTAAATAGATATTTATCTAATAAAACTAATACCTTCAAAAATGATCTAAGTGCCCAATCATATTCCTCTGTATTATAGAACACTGATCCTAATCCACAATAAGCCAAAGCTTTATCAGGATTGTTTGTTGGTAATTTAGTTGAAAATTGTCTTGCATTCAAATAAGCTACTAATGCTAAATCATCTCTTCCAGCAGATTCAAACACAGTAGCCTTACTGAATTCAAAATACAATTCTAATCCATCAGTTAAATCTCTTCCTGTTGAAGCAATCCATTTTTTCTATTATATCTATTTATATCTTACTCTTGCATCATCATAATTTTATATAGCAAATACAAAATTAGCTTCATTATGAGAATTTATTGCTGCTTCAACTAAAAATTATACATCCAAAGGAGGATTAGGTGGATATAGAACTTCTGGTATAAGTACAGGTGCAACTTATACATCTGAGAGAGAACCACGTTCAACATCTGAGATTAATTTTTATTCGAATTTCAATTTATCAGCTAATTCCTAAATATAATATTCTGATTATTTTGGTTCTGTTTTTTATTCAAATATAATTTTTCTTGGTTCTGGTTCTCCAGCTTTTCTTCTTTATTATTGTTTTTTTGCTGGTTTAGGCTTAGGATTTTTATTTTTAGGAGACTCTGGTTTTGGATTTCCTATAACTAATCTTGCTTCTGGATCCCATTTTGGCATTTATTTTTCTTATTAAGGTAAAGGAGGAATTGGAGGTAATTCCTTATCTAACATTTTGATTACCTAATCAACAGGAATATTGAGAGACACTTTTTATTATATTTATATATATACCTTATTCAAATAATAGTGATCCTTATAATGCAGCAATTCTTTATAATTCATCTGTTCCATCTGGTTCATCATCTGAAGAATCTTTTTCTTCAAAATCACTTAAATCATTAAGTAGTTATTAAGTGAATTTTTCCAAGTTTTTAATGAGTTTTCTATTTAAATTTGGAAGTGGACCTTCTATATTTTCATTTTTTCTAAATAACATTAATTCACCAAAAAATTTTCTTAAATATTTTTCAACATCTAATTTTCTATTATTTTGATTTCCTCCTCCTTCTTCTTTAAGTCCTAATTCAAATGAGATTCTAGCTAAAAGTAATTAAAGTTCATGTATTAACATTTATGGATCTGTTTCATTACAATCTGATAAATTTTTTTCATAAATTTAAATAAAATGACCTTTTTAAAAAAAGTCATATTCTTTGTTATTAATAGGTGGAATAATTTTGAGTAGAATTTCTTCCAATTATTCAATAGATAAAATATGAGGTACAATTTCTGCATCTCTTAAAAATCTTACTAATGATACCATATTCATTTTTTTATTCTAAACCCAAATTTCCTTCCATCTTAACATTATTATACCTCTTTACAAATTTTCTTACATATATATTGTAAATATATTCTTTAATTCTCTTTCATAAAGTGATATTGCTTATATAGATGATTCAGCTAATAATCTTTTATTTGTTTCATCAAGCACAATTACTCTATTTGGCTCTACATTATGATCTCTAACTGCACTTTTTTCAGATAATATCTCATTTAACATCTTTTCTAAATGAAGAGGATCATTATGAAATATTTTCTTTGCCAGTTATTTGAGAAAGAAATAAAATTAAGGCTTATTCAATGCTCTTTCCCCTTTTACATCTCCTAATGCATCATCAAAATGAGTTAGAAACATACTAAAATTATTACCATTTGTAACAAGACTTCTATCAAGAGCAAACATAAGAATATCAGCAAAATTTAATGATGTTCCATTCCTTGAAAATTTATTAAAAAACTCTTCAAATCTTCTTTCTTCTCTTTCTTTTAATACAACCGTATCTTATCTTTATTATTATTATGTCGATTGTTATTGTTATTGCATATTAAATATTTAAATATATAATATAATGGGAACTAACAAACAATTAAATCGTAGCTTTAAACATACATCAACTATATTTGATCAATTATTCTAATAATATTCTTCAATTGGATTTAAAAAAGCACATATACTTAAAGCATGGTAATAATGTGGAGATAATTAATAAACATTCCACGAAGAACTCATTAAAATTAGGTAATCTAATTTTTCTTATTATTATTTAGTTAATAAGAAAATGCCTTAATTTTGAATGAGGATGATTTATACAATTCTATGATGTAACTCAAAATGCAACTTGAATAAATAGAATAGTAAGATTTAAAAATTGCTATCCAACTTTCCTTGGATTAAAATGCTTAGTATAATCTATTCATAAATATTTATAGATCAAAACCAATTAATTCAGAAAATAGAACCAATAAATCAATTCCTGTAGGACTTAAGAATTTAGGCAATAGTATAAATCATTTAAATTTATAACTTTTTAGCTTGTTACATGAATGCCATGTTGTAGAGTCTATTTAATGTTCTACCATTTAGAAAATTCATTTTAGAATTAGATCTTAAAGATAATCAATCATTAGCATATAATTTTCTATTATAATTATAATTGCTATTTTTGATGTTACAAGAATCCAATCAATCATACATAACTCCATATAATTTATTTGAGGCACTTTAAAAATTCAAACCTAGTGCTATGTTTATAAGAGGTGTCTAAAATGATTTTAATGAACTATAAAATTCCTTTTTAGATGCTATTGAATAAGCTTTAAAAGAAGAAAACTTTGAAGAGGAAAAGAAACAATTTTGTGAGATTTTCTATGGTGAAGCTAAAGAAATATTAAGTTACAAAGAGAATGATAAAGAGATTATCAAATTTAATGATACTACTTTTGGATCTATTAGTATTGAGGCAGCAGATAAAGATTTAGAAAAAGGTTTCATAAATACAAGAATTCTTATTATTGATGAATATGAAACAGATAACAAAGAAAAAACTAAAGCTAAGATTGATTAAAATATAGTATAAGCACCATTTTTAATCTCTTTTTACATTAATCGTGTTTATTATGATCCAAAATAAAAATAGGTATGTAAAAATAATACTTAATTTAATTTTAATTCATCATTAAATATTAATCAATTTAAAACTATTAATTAGGGTTAAAAGAATTTGGAATTATAAAAATTAGATGAAGAAGAGTAAAGAATTTTAGATTAACTTAAAAGTTTTGGAGATACAAAAGATGAGATAGAAGAAAATTTTAATAGAGTTATTAAGTTATTTAAAAGAAATGAAGGTTAAATTGATAATTTGGTAACAATTGATGGATTTTGTATATGTGATGAAAACACAGCAAATCCAAATATTATACCAAGTGATTAAATGTTATTTTAATTATAATCATATAAAGAAAAAATGATGAAAACTGTTTAATTATTAACAGATTAATTAGAAAGAATTTAAGAGTAAAAGAAAAAATTATTAAAATCAGATTAAAATATGTATCTATTAACATCAGTATTAATGCATGATGGATCAGCTAATAGTGGACATTATTATTGTTATGTATTAGACAAGAAAGATTTAACAACTTGGTGGAAATGCAATGATAGTACAGTTACTAAAGTAGATTTTGCTTAAGTTTATAAAGATGCTTCTGGATCAAATAGAGTGAATTCTAATGTCTCTGGTTTGATTTATGAATAAGAATAATGGTTAAAAATAGATAAAATTTAAATCAATCAGAAATTATTGTCATTTATTTAAGAAGACAAAGAGAAATAATTAATTGCATAAGATGAATAGAAAGTGTTAAATAGAAAAGCTATTATATTATAATAAATTTAATAATAGAAAAATAAATTATTAAAATATAAGGATTAATTAGATAGAGAATTTGAGAGATTCAGTAATTTTGATTAGTATTTAAATTCAGTTAATTAAAATGTATACTAATATTATTTGATATTAACAACAGTATAATAAGATATAGTATTGATTAAAGATTAATTAAATAAACCTCAAGAAGTGAATAATTACATTAAATATTTCATTACTCAAACAAATTTAATAACAACAAATTATGATAATGAATTGAAGAAATTAAAGGATGAGTATTTAATGATAAATTCATTATTATAATAATTACCCTTAAAAAATATTACAAATTAGAATTATTCAGAAAAAATAAGATATTATTATACTATATTGAAATCAATATCAGATATTAAATCATGTTCTACACTTGTTAATCATTTAAAAAAGATATATGAAGTTCTCTTGCTTAAAGGATGCTTTTATGTTGATCTATCTCTATAAGCAAATAATATATCAACATGCATAGAAATTAGTTAGAGTATATTAATTTCAATCAATTAAAATTAATATGTTGATAAATTGATATTCTAATAGGTGCTTGCTAATCTAAAATTATCTAGTGAACAAGTTAAATTAATAACTAAAAATACAGAGATTTCAGATCATATTATTAAATTATAAAACAAAGGAGAATTATTCATTAATTTAAAATAATTAGAATTTAAGTCTTTAGAATCTGAAATATTATAATTATAAAGATTAAGAAATGATAGTCTAAAAGTAAAATTTAATATTAATATTATAATAGCTTTGGATTTATTAATATGAGAAAATTAAAACAGAATAGAAATTATTAGATTAGAATGATAGATTAAATGCTGAAGTTCTACTTTATTTTTGATGATCATTAATTTGCATTGATATATTACATAGTTGATTATTTCATTTATCAATTTATTTTTCTTTTCTAAACAAATCTGCCATTAATGAATTCAAATAAAAAAATACACTGAGTAAATCAACATAAACTCTAACACTTCCATTTAAAGAACCAGATTTAATTTAACTTAAATTACTTTAAGTACTATAAATGAGTAAGAAACTAGTATAAAATTAAAAAAATATACCCAAATACAACTCCTGAAACTAAGGTGATAATCATTTCAAAGAATGGAATTATAGAATAAATGATGAACAATTAAAATATGATAAGTCCTCCTGCCAATACATATAAAGACTATTAATGATAATACATTTCAATTCTGCTTTGCATCACTGATAAAAATTATGAAAATATCTTGACAATTATAAAATTTATATATTACTTATCCAAAAATCATGAAAGCAACCATCATGGATTGTTCAATATTTGTTATTGCAGTTAATGAAATAAAAAAGAAATATAAAGTTGTTGTAAATAGTAAATAGAGTACTACATTTACAGCAGTGTTATCTGGATTTGTAAAATAAGCAGCTAATGATAACAAAAAACATCCAATTGAAAGAATAATTATCCAATAAGAATTCTTTTGAAAATAATCCTCTAATGATTCTAAACGTAACTATGATAAATAATAATTTATTTACATAACTAAACACAATTACTATAAAGAATTAAAGTAGCATAAGGAAATATAATTTTCTTAATTTGGCTGTTTCTGCTACAATTTCTCCTTCTTCTTAAATTTCGTTTCTGTAATTTTAATAACTCAAAAATTGTGGATCTTAAGCCATTGAATTTTATAAGTATTATGATTAGGCAGGGTCACCAATCATTCTTGATTATGGCATGTTAACCTATTATTAACTGTTTTACATATATATTTTATAAATATAAATTATGCATATAGGGTTGTCAAATAAATTTTCATTTTAGAATTCAAAACGAAAAATCACAAGTTTACATTTCAATGAAACAGAAGAATATAGAAGAGCAATATCTATTGCCAATTCTCCTGATTATCTAAGTATTTGTAATATATAGAGATAGACTCTCCTTTGCCATAATTGTATAGTCCAGCTGAAAAGAAACCAATGTTTTAACGAGTTCCACGTACAAGTGTTTTATAACCATTAAAAAAGGAAGATGATAAAACGAATAATAAAGATATAATAAAATAGTTACAGGAATCTCCAGAACAAAAATTAGAAGATCAAATTCATAAACCTCTTGTTGGATCTCAATCAGCACGAAGTTATTTTTAACATTATAAAGTACTAAATAAAGTTAAACAACAAAATGAATATCATAAAATTAATGAGTCTATTCAAACATAAATGCTTAAATAAGCAGAATCATCTGATGCTCTACCTTGTAAATTAGGATTGGTTAAAATGAATGGAAATGAATCATAAGTTACAATCAATAATCATCATTATGGTGATAAATATATAAAAATGTTATCTGAAGGTTTACGATAAAATTAAGGAATCAAAGAATTCTTTTTGAGTAATAACAGAATTAAATAAAGTGGAGCTGTATCAATTTTAACCTAAATTGGAAAATAGGCTATAGTTTTGGATTTATCAAAAAATTAAATTGGATAATTAGGAGTGGATTGTTTATGTTAATAATTATAATTGAGAGAAAATAAGTAAAATTATATGTTTAAAATAGAATAGAAGTTCTCAATTTAGAAGATAATAAATTAGGTGATAAGTTTGTCATTAAAATTTTATAGTGTTTAATGAGTACTACAAATAAAGTTAAATCATTAAATATTTCAAAGAATTATTTAACTAATGAAGTTGCAGATACTCTTAAAGATACAATATTATAATTAGATTTACTTGAAGAATTATATATTCATTGGGTATATTATATAAATATTATATACTAGAATTAAATTAAAGGATTAGGAGGTTAAAAGATATTTGAAGCACTTATTGAAAATAAAACTATGGTAGTTTTTGATGGAAGTTGGAATTGTTTTGGAATTAATGAAAAATCAAATTGTACTTCTAAAATTTGTGAATTTCTTATTGGAAATAAAATTATGTTACATTGTGATTTATCTGCTAATCAATTTACATTATAAGATTGTAAATTGATAGCAACAAGTTTAAAATAAAATAGAACTATGTATGGTTTTCATTTTAATGGAAATTGGGGTATTATAGATCCTAGAGGGTTTTTAATTATTGATGAGAATTCTCAATAAAAACCATTAGGTGAAACACCAAGAATGAAAGGATTAGATTAAATTACAACTCTTAGATATGAAAGTGTATGTTGGATTTGTTAAGGTTGGTAAGAATAAATTTTTGAATGGACACCAGAAGGAGAATGTGATCCTTTGTTTTTACATATGGATTTTGAAGATTACAAATAAGTATATATTCCTAAGAGATTTGATAATTTATATAAGCTTCCATTAATGGTGCCTTCTGGATAAACATAATTTTTATTTACTGTAATTGATAATCAAATGGTAAGTAATAATTTTAATTAAAATGTTTTTGGTCATCTTTTAAAATTAAAAGTTAATGGCAATATTGCAATTTGTTAATTAGACAATATTAATGTAATATAAAAATTAAGACATTATTAATTAATGGATAAGAAAGAATTAAAAGCTTTAACTTCAATATTACCAAGGACTCCAGATCCTTTATATATTCCTCCTAAATTAAAAAAATAAAAAAGAATATGGACTTTTCCAATTTCAATATGGTTTAAAGATTTTAGATTTGAAAATGAAGAATTTTTAAGAAAATGTTTTGAAAAAGATTGGAGTTGTTCTAAAATTATGAAAGTGGTTAAGAATTTAGATGAACTTAATGAAGTTAAAAATTTATTATGGAAGGATTATAAAATGATTAAAGAAACATATAGATGGTATTCTTCTTATAATCCTACTGGAGATGTATGGTCAATCTCATCAAATGTAATTACAGATTTTTCATCAGCTACTGAATTGATTGACAATAAAACATTAAAACTTTCAGATTTAGATTTAAAATTCATTGCAACTTGTGCAGCTTCAATTGAATATAAAGGTAATTATCGTAATCCTGAAAGAGCATTATGTAGATATTAATTTATGGAATTTTTGGTAAGAGTTGCAGATGATAAATATTTCAAATAAAAATAAGCTAATTCAATGTTAGAATCAGTTTAAATGATACTTTAATAATGTAGACCTGTTATGGAATAATATAATGCATAAAAATGGAGAGATGATCGTTATTTTAATGAATAATGTGATGATTGTCTTAAATATTTTAAGCCATTATTGAATTAAGTGTATAATAGATTTAGTAGTAAGAAAGTAAAACCAGGATAAAAGAAATTTATGTGTTTAGATGAATTACATGAAATTTGTGGTATAGCAGGTTTATTTGATGAAAGATTTGTTGATAGAGATGCAGATTTAGTATCTATTCATATTTTATTATTAGGCATTTAATCTATCAATGATGTTATAAATAGATGAATTAGAAAGTGATAGAATATTTTAAATGTCATTAATTGAATTTATGGAAGCAATAGCAAGAATTTCAGAAAAAGTCTCATTACCTGCTACTCCTGATATGAGTTGGGAATAACGATAATAATAACCATTGCATATCAAATTGGAAAGGCTTCTTATTTTAATAGCCTAAACTTGTGCTTCTGAGGAATATAAATAATAATTTGGAAATCCTCAAAAGAGTATATTTGATATCCAACCTGAAGATGATTGATTGATAATAAGTCTATTTAACAATTAATTAAATATATTCATAATCTAATTATTAAATATTAGATCTTATTTAGAATATTATCTTATTAAAAGAATCTATACAAAATTTAATATATTTTACATTTGAATGAAATAAACAAACAACTTAATATGTAAATATATTTTTAATTTTTTTAAATAATCATTTATATTTTTGATAAAATACTTATATATATATAATTTATTATTTCAATTAATTAAATGATATAGATATTAAAGAATATCTGATTTTCAATCATTTAATAGTGATTTTATTTACTTTGTGGTAATAAATAATATGCAATAAACAATCTCAAAAGAAGATTTAAAAACTTATCTAAAAGGTATTGGACTTCCAACTGATATACAATTATCAGTTTCAGTTGAAACATTATATCTCCTTACTAATAAACAATTCATTTATACTTTCTATTAAAATACAAATACCCATTTAAAAGAATTGAAACCAATTTCACTTGAATTTGTGGATATATTACACAGACTATGTGTTCAAAAGATAGGTGGCCTTTGTTATGAACATGAGTTATTACTTTATAATGTTCTTAAGCATTTAGGATTTTAAGTGGAATTAATTAGATGCTTTATTTAAAAAGCAGGACCATATAATCCTAATTAACCAACTACACACAGCCTAATGTATGTGAAGATAACTAAAGAAATTTTTCTAATTGATATTGGATTTGGTATTAGATCTTTGAGATATCCCATATTGATTGATTTCTAAAATCTAACAAATTCTTATGATCTATTTCCCTTTGAACATTTTAGAATTATAGAAAATGAAACCCTTTACTCGTTTTAACATTTAATTGATGGATCATGGGTGACTTGTTATCACTTTTTTAACCCAATTCAATTTTAAACCTAATAGGAAATTAAACAAGATTGTTAAAATTATCTGGCTAGTAAACAACTTTTGGTTGGAGGAGATAATAGAATTCAAATATGTAAAAACACTGAATATGGAAAAATTCAATATTTATGGTTCAGAAATGAATAACAATTTACAGCATTCAAGAAAATTCACAATTTTGATAAAGCAACAAAAATAGAATTTGCTAATTATGAAGATTTCAAAGAAGATATCAAATAAGAAATAGGATTCCTCTTACCAGAAAAGACTTAACTCAGATGAAATATATTAATATTAAAAATGTTATAACATATCTTCACTTTTTACAATTAAATTGATATTGAGTATCTACTTTATTGATATAATAAGATAAAAAAATGACAAAAAAAGTAAAGTGAATTTTGTTATACAATTATTAATGATAAAATAATTATAAACTATAATTTATAACTTTTTCTATATAATTGATTATGTTTAGATGAATAATAATAGTTATTTTTTTACTTATAAAAAATCCTATTAATGTTATTTAATGATATATATTTATCATAATTTAAATAATTTTTGATCTTAACTTTGTATAATCAAAATATATTAACTTTACTTAATCCATCTAATTAATAATTGATTTATTATGTAAAAATAAATAAAGGTGTCATAAGAAGACTTTAAGACTTATTTAAAAGGTATTGGACTTCCAACTGATATAAAATTATCAGTTTCAGTTGAAACCTTATATCTCTTAGCTAATAAGCAACTAATATATACATTCTATTAAAATACTGTTTTGCATTTGAAAGATTCAAAACCTATTTCCCTTGAATTTTCTGATATATTGCAACGATTATGTGTGTAAAAAATAGGTGGACTTTGTTATGAACATGAACTATTATTTTATTATATTCTTAAACATATCGGATTCAACGTGGAATTAATTTAATGTTTTGTTTAAGAAGCTGGATGCCCTTATGATCCTGAATTTCCAACCACTCATGCCTTTTTATATGTTACCATTGGAGATGATGAAACATACTTGATAGATCCTGGATTTGGAACAAGATCTCTAAGATTTCCAATGAAAGTGAATTTCAAAGACTTGGATGCAACTTATAATTTATTTCCATTAGAACATTATAGATTTACAGAAAATGAAAGTCATTATTAATTTTAGCATTTAATTGATGATAAATGGGTTACATATTATCATTTTTTTAAACCACTTAAATATGCAACCATTGAGG